GACTTCCTGTAAACCTATGAAGAATGACTCTCTAAATGGGACTTTCTAGTAAGAGTTATGAAAGATAACTCTATAAGGGTGACTTTCTAGTAAGAATTATGAAGAGTGACTCTCTAGCAAGAGTTACGAAGGATTCTAAGAATAACACTCTAGTAAGTTGTGAAGGATCAATCTCTAAAAGGGACGTTCTAGTAAGCGTTATGAAGGATGACTCTCAAGAGGGACTTTCTAGTAAGAGTTATGAAGTCTGACTCTCTAAGAGTAAATTTCTAGTAAGTTATGAAGGGTGAATCTCTGAGAGGGACTTTATAGTAAGAGTTATGAAGGATAACTCTCTAAGAGTGACTTTGTAATAAGAGTTATGAAAGATGACTCACTACGAGTGACTTTTTAGTAAGTTATGAAGGATGACTCCCTAAGGGAGACATTCTAGTAAGCGTCATTTAAGAATGACTTTCTAAGAGGGTCTTTCCAGTAAGAGTTGTGAAGGATGACTCTCTAAAAGAGAGTTTCTAATAAGAGTTATGATGGATGACTCTCTCATGATGACTTTGTAGTAAGAGTTATGATATATAACTCTCTAAGGGCGACTTTCTAGTGAGAGTTATGAAAGATGACCCTCTAAGAGTGACTTTCTAGTAAGATTTATGGAGGATGACTCTCTAACAGTTACTTTATAGTTCGAATTATGACGACTCTATAACGGTGACTTTGTAGTAACAGTTACGAAGAACGATTCTCTAAGTAGTTTCTAGTAAGAGTTATGAAGGACGGCTCTTTAAGGGTGACTTTCTAATAAGAGTTATGAAGGATGACTCTAAGCATTGTCAATAGTGTCTGTATAAAACGGAGGAGTCACTTCAGGGTTAAGCTCCGCCTACATTTATTACTATTCATCATACGGTTGGGGGCAAACAGTTTGTTCAAGAAGCCAGAGATGTAATATAATTTCGTTGATAACTACTCAGTTGAGTGAGAGTTTGAACGACCATTCCCTGAGATATTTTGAAAAAGAATAAATTTCTAATTTTTATATTTTCCTTTTCATATCATTGGGATTATTTTGGCCAATAACGGTAAGCGTCGATTTTCGAGAATGATGTAAAACAAAACCGTTTATTGAAATGATATTCATGTAGACGAATAGACAGAAATTCTCTTATCACGAATATGAGGATATTAATGAAGAAAAGTTTTCAATGATTGTGACAAGCAGAGATACTTATCATCTAAAATTTTCATTTTAATACTACAAAGAGAACATCTCTCTTAAAAAATTAGGTATCAATTTTTTGAAAGTCAACTCAAACAAACCTAAGATATGGCTGTCTTTCTGTGGTGTAAAATTAATTAGAGCACGTCTAAGGGAATTAAGCAAATAGATTCCATTCATGGTAATTAATTCATCTATAGTTTTATTTTCCGAATACATTCATCTTTTCACTTAGGTTATAGAGTCGATAATCGGCTTCAATGCTCATTAAAAGACGAATCTTTCTCCTTAATAAAAGAGAAACAATCCTGAGCAGCTTTACATACTGATTCCCTAATTTAAAAAATCAATATATTTGAAAATACAAGCAAACGTTTTAAATATTAGGATTAAACTGATCATTTGTGTAAAAGATAAGGAAAAGGTAATGTACAGGTTATGAATGACGACTCTATAACGGTGTAGTAAGAGTTACGAAGAACGATTCTCTAAGGCAGTTTCTAGTAAGTATTGTCAATAGTGTCTGTAGAAAACGGACGAGTTTGTACAAATTTGGAGACTTTGATGGTGTATTAAAACTACATCAATTTGGTGTGTAGATGGTGCATTAAACTTTACCAAATCGGGGAATAAATGGTGTATTGAACTGTACCAGTTTGGCTATTTAGATGGAGTATAAAACTGTACCAATTTGGTGTGATGATGGTGTTTTAAACTGTACCATATTAGATCATAGTAAGATGTTTTAATTTAATTTAATAAATTTGATACAGTGGGTTAATAAACTAAGATCTTGATATACATACATGTATGTTCACTATGTTCCAAGATTTGTATTTCGCAAAAGAGTTGGTTGGCCCACTCGTGACGTAAATAAAGCATTCTTGCTTACCTCCAGTAGCATGGGAAGAGTCTGGTTATAATAGTGTTCCAACATTCCATTCGTAGCGTATAGCTGCTGGACATAGGCGTTGTGCATGTCGTAATATTCAGCTAACTGGCTGTGATTTCTTACAGTAGGAAGCTTCCGGTAGGCGTCGCTGTAGTCCTGATGACACTTGAAGACAAGAACCATTAACAATTCATTATGTAAAAATGTACTGATTTTATTAGCATCTAAAGGAAAAACTATTCATCTCGAGCTTTATCAGCCTCTTGTAACTTAGCAACGACGTGGCCAACTGTTACCTTAGTCACCCGAAACGTCGTCTCCCAGCTGCAATAGACAGATATAACTTTGATACAGTCGTAGCTCAGAGGCGACGTGGCCACCTGTCACCTTAGTGACTCTGTACGTCGTCTCCCAGCTGCAACAGCTTTGATACAGTCGTAGCTCAGAGACGACGCTGCCAACTATTAACTTAGTCACCCGAAACGTCGTCTCTCAGCTGCAATAGACAGATATAACTTTGATACAGTCGTAGCTCAGAGGCAACGTGGCCAACTGTCACCTTAGTGACTCTATACGTCGTCTCTCAGCTGCAACAGCTATGATACAGTCGTAGCTCAGAGACGACGCTGCCAACTGTCACCTTAGTGACTCTATACGTCGTCTCTCAGCTGCAACAGAAATATCAAGATAGTTAGATTTCCTTAAACCACTCTCCTTTTCATCACAAGAAATGTATATTTCTTTTATCATACTTATATCAAATACGAAAAATAAAGACATTATATTTGTAAGATTTTCTCTAAACCTTTTTATGATTTAATCGTAAAAATATACATCTTATAGGGAAAGACGTTATAATATATGTATAAAAAAGTTACACGGAAATTTGGGCGACATGTTTTCTTCTTCTGACTCGTACGGCCGTACAAAGCTTGGTTCCAGAACGGACAGACTTACTGGAACCCATAAAGTAACACATATATAATGTGATGAGACTAAAGTAAAACAAGACCAGATATTTAGGGGTCTTCAAACTTACCTGTTTATATAACCTGGTGAGACTAAAGTAAAACAAGACCAGATATTTAAGGATCTTCAAACTTACCTGTTTATGTAACCTGGTGAGACTAAAGTAAAACAAGACCAGATATTTAAGGATCTTCAAACTTACCTGTTTATATAACCTGGTGAGACTAAAGTAAAACAAGACCAGATATTTAGGGGTTTTCAAACTTACCTGTTTATATAACCTGGTGAGACTAAAGTAAAACAAGACCGAATATTTAAGGATCTTCAAACTTACCTGTTTATATAACCTGGTGAGACTAAAGTAAAACAAGACCAGATATTTAGGGGTCTTCAAACGTACCTGCTTATATAACTTGGTGAGACTGGAGTAAGACGAGACCAGATATTTAGGACTTTTCACACTTACTTGTCTATATAATCTGGTGAGACTAGAGTAAAACGAGACCAGATATTTAGGGGTCTTCAAACGTACCTGCTTATATAACTTGGTGAGACTGGAGTAAAACGAGACGTTGTCGTTAATATATATGTAAAAACACCTCAGTATGTATAGTTCTAGAATCTGATGAGTTTGTTTGTTGTTGAATTGTCGCACAAAGCAACTCTACAGCTAGCTGCTCCTAATTTAGCAGTGATAGACTAGCAGCTAGTCAACACCACCCATCACCAACTATGAGACTACTTTTTTTACCAACAAAGAGTGGGATTGTTCGTCACATTATAACGCTCACTCGACTGAAAAGGCACTAATGTTCGGCGATGTGCTTCGATCCTGCCACCCGCAGATTGTGAGTCGAGCGCCCTAACCACACAGTATATGTACCATAATATGCTACTATTATTCGATAATTTATTCTCTGCAGCTGAAATGATTTTAAGTTTTTAGTTGTTTAATTTTCTCGTACAGCAGTATACGTATTTATATAATGAACTAAGTAAAGTGAGTGAGTTATTTTGGGTTACACTGTACTTCACTGAAAACTACAAATATCTGTGGAACATTAACAAAGATTTTCGCTGTTAGTATCTTTATAATAAAACATATACGTAAACTACACCACGTCAGTTCTAACATTACTGGACTGAAGCGGCACCACTGTTTAACAATAGATAGTAATGCTACAAAAACAATCTTCGCTGTAAAGATGTTCAACAAATACCGTTATCATAGTAACGTTATTCAAAGCGCATTGTCTCCAGTAACAATATTCCACAAACAATGTTCCTGTATTAACCATATTCAACAAACACAGTCTCCAAAGTAACAAATTTCACAGGCATTGCTTCCACAGTAACTATATGCAATAAACAACGTCTCCATAGTATGACATCTAACGCACATTGTCTCTACAATAACAATACTTCACATACACTGTCCCTATGTCAACTACAGTCAACAAAGAACGTCTCCATGGTAACGATATTCAACGACCATCTTCACAGTAACAATATTTCCTAGGCATTGCTTCCACAGTAACTACGTTCAACAAGCAAAGTATCCACAGTAATGATGTTCAATTCGCATTTTCTCCAGGGTAACTATACCTGACAAACATCGTCTCTGTGGTAGCGGTATTCAACAGGCATTGTTTCCATGGTAACAATATTCTACAAACTTTGTCTCTATAGTAACTATATTCATGGAAAGGTTGTGTCACAGAATTATTGATGTCATCTTCCGACTACGATTAGCACTATACTTATTAACATAATGGATAAAATGGATGAAAAATAATCTTACAATAATAGCTGAAGATGACCAACTGAGTCGTCCTCGGACAGAAGTCACTGTCACATTGTTAAAGTTAACCGGAAGGTGGTTAACTAGATCACGTCAGCGTCATTAATCTCTGTAGCGAAGCCATCATCCTAAAATTGTAAATTCACTACTTCGCTAAAGGTTTATTATTTATAAAAAGTGTTATTATTTGCTCGGATCCTACTATACTTCCACCAACATTCGGCTTTTGGCACGTCTCCAATCAGAGAACACCTACAGCTGACATCTTGGCTATCACAGAGGTCCATTTGGTTCCTAGCCAACATTGTCTGTCAGTATTTGCTCACTAAGTTCGGAAAAAATACTAATGATCACAGAACTAGCAACTTTTTACCAACTCGAACCTTATGTAAACCTAAACACACCTGACTAACGACTGGATCTATTCAAGGTTTTTCGGGATTACCAATCCAAAACCACTAGCTTTATTTATACAAGCATAGCTACTAAAGTTTTGTATTCTAACATTAATTTGGAAAACTAGTCAATACTTTTTGTGTACCCTTTGAAAAAATCATAGTTAATAACAGACCTTACAGACCAATAAAGAAAGTAATCCTCTTTGTAGCCCAAGGCTACATTATTGGACACGACTCAAAACCTTGATCACGAAGAATAAAGAGCTGAGAATCCTTGATCTACTATAACTTAAACTCAGATGTGAATATGCTTTCGTTACCCTTTAAAACAAATATAAATATAATTTTCCTTGAACTCTGGAAGAAGAAAAAAAAAACTCACCTTGCTGAGGAGGTTTTCTGCTTTACTGAGTACAGTTTCAAAACTTTCTCGGTGAAGAAAGATCTTCCTAGACTGGATTTTTCTATGGAAGGTCTTTTCTAATAACGTCATCCCAACTTGTCGACCGAGGCTACGGGCAATGTCTCCGTGAACCTGAAGTGTTATTACAAACATAAACAGATTATCTCGAGTTTAAGGAACATGCATACTGTATTTTTCGGAATATAAGACGCACCCTTATTTTGAAGACAAAGTTTTGGGGAAAAAAGC